CTGGCAGCCAGGCCTTTAGAATTCCCTCAGGCTGATCCCTTCAACACATATTGAAGAGATTTTTTTTTCTTTCCCCGACGACCTTGAAACGAACCCAGGGGGCTTTAAAAAAAAAAGGGAAAAAATGTTCAAGACCTTAAAAAAATAGCAAAATATAAACATGTATTTGGCTTCATAGAATGTTGTAACAGACAAGCATTACACGTACCCACACACACATTTCTAGCATCAAGAAATTTCCTAAGAGTCAACAGTAACAGAGTAAATCCACCACTTGCTGTCCTGGAAAGAAACAAACCAAACCAAACCAAATCCTTTTACATCTCTTTCAAATGCAGGAAGGCTTCCCGTCAGTAAAAGTCCAAGAGGAAAAGGAAACTGCACCAAGGGTGGCTGGAGGGGGTGGGGGGCAGTGTTGGAGGTTGGGGCTGTCATATGTGGCCCAAAATCTAAGCTTCTGTCAATGGTATTAGGCTGAAATAATGCATCTTTTAAATGCCTGAGAGATGAGAGAGAGGGAGAGAAGGAGGGAGGGAAGGAGGGAGGGAGGGAGGGAGAGAGAGAGAGAGAGAGAGAGAGACATAAAACCAACGGATGACAGTTCTTACGATTTACATAACACCACAAACTTGCAAAAGGCAAAAATCAGAAGCGGAGGAAAAAAAAAAACAACAAAAAACCCTAAATCATTAAATACAACAAGGAGCATCCCCAAACCACCATCCCAAAAGGAACCCCCGCCCCAACATACTTTGTCCCAAATAAAAAGAAAACAAATGAACCCACCGAAAACTGCTTGGCAAATATTTTTCTCGTGGTGCCTAATATTCTAGCTGGTAGGAGCTGTGGTATTTATTGTTTTCTCCCTCACTCGCCTCTCTAAACCTGCCTCTAACATACTTGTTTAAACGGCTCACACCTCTAGCTCCTTTTTATGTACTTAGCTCGAGGAGTCGAGTTTATGGGTAGGAGAGGAAGAATTAGCCCCAGACCCCGGGAAAGCGAAGCGCACTCCCCCTCTTATGTCACCGAATAGCAAATTAGTTCTCAGAATTCCAGAGGCCGAGCTTTGCTACAGCGAAGACGCCGACGTCACGGAGGAGGAGCCCACGTGACGGCGGCGGAGCGGGCCGTTCCATCGGCGGCCGGGGGCAGGGAGGGTCGCCTTGTAGCCGCGCGCCCCCGCCGCGGGACCCCCGGTGTTCCGGGCGATAGTGCTACGGGAACCCCGATCTACACCCTAGGGCGGCGAGCCGCGCGGCCCCAAGGCATTCTGCCGGCCGAGAAGGCGCCGCGGCGCGCGCCGCTGCCACCGAGTCCTCCCCTGCCGTGAAGCAATGGTAAAGCCCGCAGCTCAAATTCCGAGAATTGAGCTCTGTTGATTCTTAGAACTGGGGTTCTTAGAAGTGGTGATGCAAGAAGTTTCTAGGAAAGGCCGGACACCAGGTGATTATTGCTGTTGCTGCCGCCGCCGCTGCTGCTGCCGCCGCCGCCGCTGTTGCCGCTGGTGCCGCTGCCGCCGCCGCTGCTCATGATCATTATTTTACCTTTTAATTCTTTTTTTTCCGCTTTTGCCAAATGCTTTGGCTCCAAGTTTCCTATGTGTATCTATTGATATAAATGTATCTATTTATTGATTCTAGCTGTCAGGTGTTAAAATAAATGCCGAAGATCAGCCCCACGTCTCTCCCACTGTAGGATCTAGCTTTACGCATACGTATTCTTCTTCTTCTTTTTTTTTTTTTCTTGCTGTCTCGGAGCGCCTCGGCCGCCTCGGGGAGGCTGTGCCGCCCTGCCCGGTGTTGTTTCGGTGTTTGGAGACGCAGGGGCGCGGGGCGGCGGGCGCTGGGCTGCGCGGCCTGGGAGGGCGGACCGCGGCGGCCCCGCCGGCTTCGCGCGGCTTGGCTTGCTTTCTCTGCTCGCTTGCAAACTGCCTTCCCCGCCGCTGCCTCCCTCCCCGCTCAGTTCTCCCGGTGCCCGCGTTGGCGGCCGTCCACCAGCCCGGGGTCCCGCACAGTCCCTGCCTTGCACCCGAGCCGGGAGTCAGCGGGGGGAATGCAAGCCAACTCCTCGGCTGGTTGTTTTATTTTCCCTTTTCTTTTTGGTCATAAAGCCAGATGAGGTATCGTGTCTGCAGTTTCCTTTGAGAGCCGTGATCTTCCCAAGGAGAGACAGTGTTTTGGGGAGGCTTCGCTTGCACGGGGGGGGGGCGGGGACGTTGAATACTTTGAAAATTAGTCTTTCTTGGTTGGAGTGGAGACAGTCGGGAACCCGGGTGCGCTCGGTCTGCCCAGCCCGAGGAAGGAGGCTTGAAGGCGGGACAGGGATTTTGGGGGTGGGCGGGAAAGGGGTGCGCGGTTTTTTTTCTTTTCTTTTTTCTTTTTCTTTCTTTCTTTTTCTTTTTCTTTTTCTTTTTTTTTTTTTGCACCTGCGGCGCTTTCAGCGTGCGGGACCGGGAGGGTCTTGGCCAGCCAGCCCAGAGCTCCGGGAGGTGGAGGGATTTCTGGCGGCCGCGGTGTTTGTATTTTGGGTGCTGCGTGACTCTGTTGGCTCTTAGCGGTAGTTCCCCCCCTTTCCTAAATTTAATTTCATTTTTCCCCCTTGGTGCAAGCTGTGTAAAAAAAAAAAAAAAAAAAAGGCAGCTATGGCCCCGGGTATAGCGGACGCCACGCTTCAGATTCCCAAGGTCCTTATTTTGGGCGAAGGAAGAAAAACAGAATCCCAGCCTGCGTTCCTGATTTGCAAGATCAGGGAGGGAAGAAGGGGCACTTTGTGGTTCTGGCTGGGGGACCCGGGACGGGAGGAGCGGGTGCGAAAGGGAGAGCTTTGTGAGTGATTTTGCAAAAACAAAACAAAACAAAACAAAAAAACAGATTTCGAGGTTGGTTGGATTTGCAACCTGTGGCTCTCCTCGAGGGAATAAGAATGGGGAAAAGCGGCGGCGGCGGCGGCGGCCCGGGGCGGGAGTGGGTTGGGAGTTGGAACCTAGGAAATCGCTGCCTGGGGGCCAGCGGGAGCTAGAGGCCACCCCTGCCGGAAACAGTGAACAGTGAACGTTAAATGTCTTGAGAACTGCGGGTTGCGTTGCCTGTATAATACTGTGTTATTGGAACCCTGGCGAGAAATGGAGCTAGTGTTTGCAAAAATGAGTTTTAAAAGTCCCCCATGAAAAACAACAGCACCGAACAATATATATATATATTTTAAGAGTAAAATAAATAACCTCTGTGTTGTGCTCCCTCTCATAGAGATTTAGTTTTTGTGCTAGGGATAGTGAGAAATGACCTCAAACCCGGCGCTGGAACTCCAAAGCGATTACAGGGTCGTTGACTGCAGTAGAGAAAAGCATCGCACCCCATCCGCTAAGAAGTGATTTTATCTTTGTCCTTTCTTTTCTTCAAACATTGTATAGTTCTCAGAGGAAAATATTGCAGTGCCAGTGGATATTAGTATCCACAAAAAGAAAGAAAGAAAGAAAGAAAGAAAGAAAGAAAGAAAGAAGGAAAGAAAGAAAAGAGCAAGGAATGGAAGGGGGGATGCAAGCAAGAGAGAGGGACCCTCTCGGAAAAGACTGTTTAGAAATACAGTTTGTGGCTCTGAGCTATGCCGCTGGCTTCCTCTGCAGTTCGCTGGTTTCCCTTTTTCTTTGCGAGGTGTGTGTGTCTGTGTGTGTGTGTGTGTGTGTGTGTGTGTGTGTGTGTAAGTAATAAACAACTTTTAAAATAGGGGAGGGGGCAGCGTGATCCGTCCAGAGACAGGTATCTGTTTTGCTCAGTTTACTGTCAAGAGCCTTTGGCAGGCACTTGAGCAGGACCTCATAAGCCTGCAGACCAAGTTGAAGTTCATCTGGCCCTAGTCCACACGCTATTCCTGGAGGTAGCAAACATGAGCTCAAAGGAGTTAGGTGAAATCATATTCTTCTTTATATACTGATTTTAATAAAAGAAGGAAAGATATTTGTCCCCAGGGGAAGAGGAAATGGAGAGGAAAGCACCAGGAGATGGACATTTCTCTTGCTAAAATGACAGCAGTTGAGTCCCAAGGCCAAAATAGAAAGCTGTAGATGGACACCTCCCCCCCACCCCACCCCAGTTTATAAATAGAAGTTTCCAGTATCCTATTTGGAAGAATTTCTTTTCTAATACTTCCAGGCGTTGGGTGATTTTAAGGATCTGTTGGTAGTGTCAATAAGGCTAGATACTGTTCCAGACAACCAAGTGACTTGAGCAGAGACAACCAGGAAACCGGTATTCGCTAACAACTCTCTTCCTCGCCTCAGTTTTGGAGGGTTCACAGGAGTGTTTTCTTGAAAAGACTAATTTCTTCTGGCCTTGGTGGTCAGGAATGGCATCCTACATTTCTAAGTTGTCGTTTGCTGAGCCCTGAGGAGTTCCAGTTATGGGTTGAGTAAATGCCATGTCTAGATGTCAAAATCTTTCCTTCCCTCTGTCCCCTGCTGGGGATATCCCCCTCTGTTGTGAAAAACTTAAGTTTCAGGGGAGGTAGTGCGGCAGCGCCACCCCTTGGTGAGTAAAACTATTGATAAAAGTCAAATATTCGAAAAACAATTGTGAAATGAGCGGAATCTGCTTCACCCCCACCCCGAGAGATTGAAAAAAAAAAGAGAGATGAAACTTAAAATCAATACTTTGCAGCTAATCTCTCAAATAAGATAGAAACACGTTGTTTTCCAAACTAGTATGGTGTCCTTACAGGCGATGTCCTTCCCCGTAATTCAACGGACACACTTGTAGGAGTGGAGAAGAGGTGGGATAGAGTTGGCTCTTAGCAGCGACCTCTCTGGATTGATGTAGCTATTTTCCCCCTCAGACTTGACTTCAGGTACTCGCAGTCGATAGATGGTCTGATTCTGAGCTAAAGAGGATTTTTTTTTTTTTTTTGGTGTGTAAAACCATAGAACTGAAAGTGTTGTAGTTTCCCCGGGGGCCCTGGTGGCTTGTGTCGGAGTGTTGGGGGAGAGGTTTGTGGACCGCAGGGAGCAGCGGTAGGCTGGGCTGCAGCCTTGTGAGACTCGAAGTAGCGTGGCGCGTGCCGGTTTCCTACACTGCGCAACAAGTGGGACCGCAGCAGTGACGCGCGACTCTGCACACTGGCTCTGCTGGTTAGCTTCTTTTCGCTCCTCCTAGCCCTTCCTGCTTCCCAATTACACACCAGTAGCACCTCCAAAGACCGTATTCTGTTCGGTTCCGCACCCCTGCTTTGCTCAGTGGGTGAAGGGCTTACCTCTGGTCCCCCCTTCCTCCGTGGGTATGGATCATGGGGTTATTCCTGACTTTTGCTTCCCTCCGCCTTCCTCCCTCTCCCCTCTCTCTGTTTCTGTCTTTGGCAAGAGTCTCTCTTAATTCTTTCAGGTGTGGTTCTTTTTGAAAGCTTTGAGGAAGGGACGAAGGGAACAAATATTCAAATGATACGCTTAAAGCAGCTCCTGAAACCGTATGGTGTCAGCTAGAGGCATGAGCATCGGAAGAACGGAATTACATCTGCTCAACTAAGTGTTTTCCGACTTCAGTTTTGGAAGCAACGCCCCCCCCACCCCCACCCCCAAGAGAGACAAAAACGCGCTGGTCAGGGTTGCCCAGTATAGAAGGCTGTGGTAACAGGGTGATTCTTGAACGGACTGAGTCCGCCACCTAGTGGTCGTTCATGGTCAAGGTTTGCGCCCGGAGCGGTGGTCTCTGGATTCTGATCAGATACTAGAACTGAGAAGGGCATTCTCCAATGAAGACAGCATCCGACTTCCAAAGTTTTGATGAGACAGATGAAAATCATATGCCCATACCATCCACATCCACAATTTCTCAGTCATCCATCAGTATCTGTCTCAACTGAGAAAAAGTACTGTCTTTAAGGACATTCGTGGCCTCTCCAGGTAGCAGAAGGATTGCGCCCAGACTCTCGGGAGCTTTAAGATTTAAATTACTTCATTGCAATTGCGGACTCAGGCCTAACAGTAAGTTTCTGAATTTCAAAGACTTCATCAAGGGAGTTTATTCCAGTTCATCTAATAGCAGGGGAGAGCAGTTAAACCTTAGGTCACTGGAGTCTCCAATGCACATTGGAAACTGTTCCCTTTACCTTAAAGTTTTTGACAATAGACACGGAAAGGTTATAGAGGTGTGAGGGGGTGGGGCATCTCAAAGCTATAGTGCATGCTTGTTCTGAGAGTTTGAGTGGCCAGAAACTACTTAGTCTAGTTGGGGTTGTTCATCATCGGCTTTCTGTAAGCTTGGACTCCGAACTCACTCTCTTTTCACGCAGTTTATCCTTTACTTAGTGGCCTGTGGAGAAATCAGGTGTGTGTGCGCGCGCGTGTCTGTAGGGGCTGTGAATAAAATAGAGCTTTATTCTTTGAGAATTTGTACCCTATCTCCTCCGTAGTTTTCTTTCTCAAAGCTCTTTACTGAGATGGCCCGCTTGCACCGACGTGCTGGCGGCCTCTAGTGGCGTCCTCAACGCAGAGACACAGCTGTCGTCCCCCCCTTAACCCCACCCCTACCCCCCACCCCCCACCGGGGCGGAGAGGAATCCAGTTCATCCTCTATCACTGCGGGAGTTGTCCCAGGCCGCCGTGGAGAAATGCGCCTCTGTTCTGGTTGGAAACGAATCTGGGGACGTGTCTGAAGCGCGGTCAAGTTTGACTCATCGCTTTCCAAGGACAGTTAGTGCCTTCCATCTTCATTAACGTGAATAAAGACCTTGGCTGACTTCTGTCTAGATCGAATTTTAAAAGGCATTGTTTGTTTGGGGAGATCATGCCTCTCTTTCCTGCCCCACAGTACCCCGCCCACCCCATTGCCGATCTCAGTCCAGTCAGGATGAGGGAAGAGATCTCTTCTGAAGGACATGGTTTGCTGGCTTTGTCGGCAGGCCTTCTGGAGTCTGTCTCAACCAGGCACATGGGGAGCGTCCCTTCAGCTCTCCAGCTCTTGATGATAAAACACATCCCTTTATTTTATTGCATTTCCTCGAAGCTTGCAGGCTAGCAAGAGCTCTGAGGGAGGACACGTAACAGAAATGAAAGTCAGGACACAAAGTCCTCTGGTTAGCTCATGCAGCTGCGGAATCCATCGCACTATCAACTTCTCTTTTTTATCTTTTGTCTCACCTCGGCCCAGAGGCAAGAGCACCAATATTGTCCTTCCCTTCCTCCAGAACAGAAGCAAAGCTTTGACTCTACCCATTATCGCCAGAACAGGGTGGCTAGACCTGAGCACCCTGTTAGAAAAGAGCGCTCCTGCTGGAGTCCAGAGACATGTTTCATCCCCTTTCCCCTTACCCCTTCCCACGCCTTCAAACTCCTTGTCCCTAGACAGTGATTTACATTTTAAGAATCCTGTTTAGATTTTTCGGCGAGCTATTGGAGTTATTAGATTACCAATAATCCAACAACCATCCTGGATAGAGAGAAGTGGAAAAGCGTTCTCTAAATCCAGACACTGGCCAAACTAGGTCAATGGGAAGGAGGGGCGGGGCGAGCAGCCTGCTATAGTTTCTAGCCTTGATGGAGACCTCCCTCTAGCGTTAGACAGAGGTAAATACACCATTATGATTGCGCTTCCAGTAAGTGCAAATGATTACTCTGCGGATATTCATTTCTGTCCCATATAAAATTCCTTTTGTCACAGTTAGCCCATACCGAGGGACAAAGAAACAACAAAACAGGGGACCAGTGAGAACCCATTTCTGGGGTGCGAGCCTGATCCCGCCTCCATCGCTAAAAGGATGTACAGTGCAACGATGCTATCCGTTACTTTTAGGACTGGACCGAGGTTATGCAGACCCCCCCAAAGGCGCTAGGCTAGGCACGTAGAGGTTGGCCACAGGGGGTTCATTTCTGGGAAGGCGAGGCAACCCTGCCGTGTGTCAGAGCTTGCACTGGCGTGGGCCCTGTGACCTAGTCTCCACGGTTTCAGGAAAATAAGACACTGAAATTCCAGAGCCTGTCTGGCTTCAGCCTGGTAGCTCCAGCTCTAAAGAAGGCTGGGCGGAAACCTACCCTTTCTTGCCAACGTAGGCGGAAGGGGCTTTCAGTTTACTTTTCTTCCAGGTTTAGTCCCTCACCACCCCAACCCCCACCCCCACCCCCAAAAAAAATTCGGCCAGGTTCCTCCAAGGGTGGAGATTCTTAGTCCCGGGAACTCAATCATTTTACTTTAATTTCTCACCTACCCATTCCTTTCTAAAGCAGGGAAGGAGGTAGTAAGCGGGAAGACAAAAAGAAAACTCAAGAAATAATATCAAGACCCTAAGACAAACAACAAAACAAAAGCAAACGCAGTGGCCAGAATAGGGCAAAATATAAATCATGAAGCGAGCCTCTGACTGTCCCCAGACTCTTGGGCTCCACTCTCTGCGGCTTTTAGCTGGCTGGGGGGCAGGAATGGGGACTCAGTGGAGTAGGCCTGGAACCCGGAACCTGTGTGGGACTTAGGGGAAAAGGGTGCTCTGTCCCTGGTCAGCGCCGCGCAGCCAGAGATCCCGGGCTGGACTGTCAGGCCGCGGCTTCCTGGAAAGTTACTTCTCGTTGGAGACTGTGCTGGGCAGGAGTGTTCTGTGAAATCCTCAGAGCTGAGATCGACTATGTTCCGGGAATGAGAGGGCTGTTCCATTCCCCTCGTGGCCCCCTGCTTTGACAGAGTAACAGGAAAAAAAAAAAGACACACAATGCTAGCTACCGAGGTGCATGAAAACATTTATTTGATTGTAACCAAATTAGCTGCTACAGTCATACCACTCGGCCCGGGCCGAATCTTCCCGGCTTCGAGGTGGATGGACAGCAGTGCCAGCCGATCGCCAGGGGGTGGGCGGTCCCAGGAGGACAGGTACAGCTAGGTGCGGTGAGCAAGTCTGCGCAAGCTTGCCAGGCGGTAGGGCTGGGGTTTGTGCGGGTGTGTGTGAACAGGCAAGTGCGGCTGCCACTCCCCCCTCCCCCCTCCCCAAAGGAAAAGGAGTCCTTTGTATTGGCTCTTGTGCTCTCTTCCCCTTCCCCTCGACTCTCAGATCTCTCTCTTTCTCTCTCTCTCTCTCTCTCTCTCTCTCTCTCTCTCTCTCTCTCTCTCTCTCTCTCTCTCTCTCTCTCTCTCTCTCTCTCTCTCTCCTTCCTGTCTCTCTCCCCTTCCATTGGAAGCGCCTCAAGTAAAGCTGTCTCATTCAAAGTACATTAGGAAAGTGCCCCACGGAGGGAAAGAATGCATGGATCGGTTAGTTGGGGATTTCTGAGGCTGGACCCGATTTCTGAGCGAAGACCCGATTCTGGTTCGGCTGTCCTTGCCTGCCTGATTCTCCTTGGGGTTGTTTGCATAGAACTTTGTTGGAGAATGGTTTTGAGATCTTGGGCAAGGGCTTGTTCTGGGAGCCTCAGTTTCCTTTATACTTTATACTTTATACTTTATACTTTATACTCCTAGCCGTTATAAAGATGTGGGTCCAATGATGAGTGGGAGAGAGATGAGTGGGTTGTTCAACAAACAAGATGAATGCTGGTGGAGCCTTCATCTCTGCAGTGTCTGGGGGGAGGCAGCATTCAGCTCCAACATTAGCCCCCACTCTGGGGAGCTGTGGAACCTGTCTGCTGACAGAGAAGTGGATCTGTTGAGAGGGATGAGTCCATAGAACTCAGCCTGTCCTTGTGTGTGTGCATGTGCTTTGTTGATGGAGACAGGCTTAAGGTAAAAAGCCCAAGGCCAGGCTGTCAGAGGACGTAGAAGGGCTGCCTTTTGTTGTTGTTGTTGTTTGTTTGCTTCGTTCCTCTTCTGGAGTGAGTCATCACCACTTGTCCTGGTGAAATGGCAAATCTGGGCTTCCTGTGGTTCCAAAAGTCTGTGACTGGAAATCCACAAGTGAGCTGGTGGTAGAAGCCCAAGGATTCGGCATGTGGTTCTCTTCCACGGGGAAGCAAGGAGAAAGCTAGTAAATAAATGTCACGTGGCTTCCGCATTTATTGTCAAAAGAGACAGTCACTGGACTTGGGTGACTACCAAGTGAAATCTTTTTACTCACTCTTAATTAGGAAAGGTTCAAGAAGAAATAGATTCTTTTTGTCGTTTTCTGTCTTCTCTCTTCCCCCATTTCCTACCCCAGACCCACTCACTCGCATGCATGTATTAACCTTGAAGCCGAAGAGATTGACTGACTGGCACTTGGGACCACAGAGAAATATCTGAGTGTTTGGTTACAGACTCAAAGAAACCTCACATTTTAGAGTGCTCATTTGGTAAGACTCAGCAGCATGGAATGGGGCAAAGTTTGTGTGGGGGAAGGAGCTTTAAACTGAGATTCACCCACCTCAGGGTGCTGCTGTCCTGTGTGTCCTACGGCACGTAGACTGACTTGGAAAGTGGACAGGAATCTGAGCCAGGAGACCTAGGGCCAGCCCATCAACTATCTACATGGCCCAATGTGACCTCACTGGCCTTAGGCCCCTTTACCCGGAAAGCAGCTCTTAAGGGCTGTGCTGTTTAAATGGCAGAAGAGAGTTCCAATATATTATGGCTCCTCTTTTGCAGCCCACATTCGATCATAAAGGAAAATCTTGCACCTTTGCTTCTAATGGTTTTTGTTTTAGAGAAACCAATTTGGAGAGAGAACATATTTCATTAAATCTCTTGAAGGCTCCCTGGCCAGTTCTCAGATAAACCACAGAGTTAAATCTTTCACCAGCTGGGAGGAGCTCAAACTTGGAAGCTATGGTCAGCCCTCTGTCTAGTTTTAGACCTGGAAACAGAGGGAGGGGAAACTTTGAAAAAAGAGGGCAGAGATACCCAAGGAATGCATAAACATGGTGTCTCAGGTTTTATTCTAGAGTTGGTATTCAGTCTGAAGCGTTCCAGAGAATCAGGAAATACTGCCTGGCTGTTTGTCCTGAACAAGTCATTTGAACCCTGAGTCTCAATTTCATCACCAGAGAAATAAGGATAAAGATATTGGCCCTATCAGTCTTGTGGAATCATTCTACGACTTGAAAGATAATATTTTTAGCAAGGGTTTGAATAGCATCCAGTGTTTTTAGGTCCCTGAAGAATCATTATCATTAATATTGAAAGAACTACTTTTTTTTTCTTTCTCATAAACTCAAATGGCCTTTTGATGTATATATTTTTTTTACCCTAAGAAAGAAAATATATGTATGCAGGTATATGTAATTAGTGTATGCAATGACATCCCTAGAGATAAGGCATTGTAACCAAATGGCTTTGAGTGCCTGTTGTTTCTGTAAGAACTGAGCTGGAATATGTTTGCTAGCTTGTGGGAAAACTGCACCAGCTGGCAGGCTGCAGCTATCAAAGCAAAGCTAGCTACGTGTGTCCTAAAATAAGACTGGAGTGGACAATCTTATACTCATTTAGTCAATCTCTGCTTGCTCTCTTCTTTGCAGTTTTAAAGCAAAATTTTGGACTGTGAAGCAAGACATTGGGTGAGTAAATCAAATTATATACTATAAAATTTGTTGGTGAATTTTTCTCTTAAGTTTTACCCATGCGTGTGTGTGTGTGTGTGTGTGTGTGTGTGTGTGTGAAGATTTGCCACTTTGACTTGATGAACAAGGAGAATGAACTCTTTTCATACAGATCTCAGGTCTCACCCCTCTGACCCTTCACTAACTGACTTCATACCATTGTATGTATGGTATTATTCATTCTTGTAAAACCTGGTGGCCTACGCTGCCAGGATTATGTGAGTGCTAAGCACTCAAACTATTGAACGAAGCAACTCAAAATCTCAGAGCCTGGGATGAATAGTGAAATGACATACTGATAAAAATAGCTGCACTTTTTTTTTAATAAGAACTTATTATGGTGTAGGCACATAATTCTAATTTTAAAAACCACATAGGTATTGCTGTTCCTATTTTGGGAAATGAAAGCTCAGAAACAGTAACAGCACACTCCAAGTAACAGAGCTGGTGAAAGGCAAAGCAAGCTGGGTAACTCTCCAAGAGTGGTTTTCTCCGTTGCAACACACTCAGTGCCTCTCAATGCTTGGCAGAGTGTTTAGTATGCGGAAAAGCACTTCACAAGGAGCCCTTCCCTTCCCCTTTCCCCCAAAGAGCTTTCATTCTCCCCATTTGACAGCTATGAAAAGGAATGTCCAGAAACGGGCTATGAATTGTCCACTATAGACCTGAGTTGCACTTGATAGCTTATCAGGCTAAGCCATCTGCTTAGTACTCCTGGTAAGCAGGGACTAGGTTCTCAAGGAGTAATAGGAGTTTTAACTTCTGTTCAGGGAAACACAACATGGCCTCACCGGCTGACAGCTGTATCCAGTTCACCCGCCATGCTAGTGATGTTCTTCTCAATCTTAATCGCCTCCGGAGTCGGGACATCTTGACTGATGTTGTCATCGTGGTGAGCCGTGAGCAGTTTAGAGCTCATAAGACAGTGCTCATGGCCTGCAGGTGAGTGGTCTCGGCGTGAAGGGGACTGCAACAAGAGGAGCTCAGATTGGCAGCCAGCGAGATGAATACATAGGTCATTCTCTATGTCCGAGATGACCATTCCTTAGTTTCCAGATCTCAGCAAATGGCCTGGCATTGTGGGCTCTCAGAAAACAATTGAATGAGCACACCTTTGGAAAAGCAGTGCTGTTCCGAAGGAATAATGAGTGAAGAAATCATATACCATCAAAGCCAAGATGCATTTGATATGATTTGAGAGCAGCAGAGAGAGTATCTTCAGTTAACCAGTATGAAGATGAAACCTAAGAGTTTCTAAATAGTTTAGCCAATTGTGAAAGCTTTTGACATGTTATGCCATGACTGTACTTTATTTTAAAAAATGGCTTTTTGGTTTTCAACATAGGGTCTGTCTGTGTGTAGCCCTGACCATCCTGGGACTTGATCTGTAGACTAGGCTGGCCTTGAACTCACAGAGATCCACCTGCATCTGCCACCCAAGTGCTGGGATTAAAGGCATTTGCCGCCACTACCCTAAAAGGATTTTTTGGTTGTTGTTTTTTGTTTGTTTGTTTGTTTTGAGACAGGATTTAATGTAGATTAAGCTGGTCTTGGACATAATACTTAGCTAAGGCTGGCCTTGAAATTCTGATTCTCTTACCCCAAGTACTGGGAATATAGGTGTAACTCACCATGCCCAGATTATTCTACTTAAGTTATACTGTAATTATATTTCCATGGTTTAAGCATGAGTGAGTAAGCCACCTAATTCTTCATATTTTCCTGAATCTTAACTTTTCTGTGCCATAGTGTATTAAGTCATTTCTAAGGGCTTCCTACTAGCTGTCTGTTGTGACTGACACTAGTTCTCCATTTTAGAAATAATGAAAGGAAGGCACATGTCTGTGTAATGATATAGGGCTCTGTATTGCAATTAGAGAACTTAACCAATGTCTAATAATAGCATTAAAAAAATAACGTGAAGGGCTGATGAGATGGTTGAGTGGGTAAAGGCACATGCCACCAAGCCTGATGATGTAAGTTCAGCATCCGGACCCACATGGTAGAAGGAGAGGAGTGACTGTCACAAGTTGTCCTCTGACCTCCACTCTCATGACATAGCATATTTACACGCACACAGAGCAGGGTGGGGGGAGAGGGAAAAGGAGAGGGAGACAGAGAGACAAAGAATGAGAAATAAAGAGACAGAGAAAGAAAGACAGAGATAGACAGAGACAGAGAGAGAAACAAAGAGACAGAGACAGAGAGACAGAGACAGACAGCAAGTGTAAAGGTGCATTAAAAATGTAAAACATGGGGAAGAGGAATTCACAGAGATATAAAGTAATAGCTAGTGTTTAGCATTTACTGTGACCTGCACCAGTGTACACCCCTAATACTTTTTTGTTCTTGCCACAACTAAGCACATTCAAAAATATCCCTTTACTTAGCAGACAGGGAAACCAAGACATAGAGAAATTAAAGCCAGTTGAAGAGCTACTTCCTGGGGAAGGCCTTGGCTCATTTCTGGCAAGCCACCCAGAATGAGAATTCTGATGACAGTCTTAAAATTATTAACTGACTAGACAATATGACCTGGAGGCATGGCTTAGGATTAGACTTGGATCTTCTAGGAATAATCGCCCTTCTGATAATCGTTGGACTTTGTAGTTATCCGAGGGCTTGGAGTATAAGTATGCATATGTCACCAATTGTCCATCCCCAACTCGGTCCTCACGCCATAGACTTCTAAAACTAAGGGTATTGTGATAAAGCAAGGGAAATACTCATACCAAACACATGAAGTAGGAGCGGGTGAATGCTAAGTTAGACAAAAGAAAAACAGCTCCAAGACTATCTCCCATGCTCCTCTAGCTCAGTTTCTCCATGTGTAAAGGTAGAACATGGTGGTATAATCTTACAGGATTAGGGAGAACGTCAGCTAATGTACACTTGTAAAATGCTTCAGGAATTGCTGGCATCTGCTAGGCTTTCCACAAGTAGAAGTTATTATTAAGTACCACAGAGCTCTGGGATCTGGGCTCCAGGACGACAAGATACAGAGATGCTTTGTGACCACTATGGTGACAACTCTGTTTGCTTTACAGTGGCCTGTTCTACAGCATCTTCACTGACCAGTTGAAATGCAACCTTAGTGTAATCAATCTGGACCCTGAGATCAGCCCTGAGGGGTTTTGCATCCTCTTGGATTTCATGTACACATCTAGGCTCAACCTGAGGGAAGGCAACATCATGGCTGTGATGAGCACAGCCATGTACCTGCAGATGGAGCATGTTGTCGACACATGCAGGAAGTTCATCAAGGCCAGGTGAGCCACTACCTAGGTAGAAGCTGTGGATGCAGAAAGGATAGTTCCAGATCAGAAGTCATGCATGCTGTGATAGCCTTGATGACATGTGACACCTCCCTTTCTACTCTATATTCATGTGTTCTAGGCAGACGCCATTCCTTGCAGCAGCCCATATGTATGTCCTGTGTACCCCCATCCACCTACCTCCACCCTATGTCCCTTGAGTCGTTCTTCCCTCTCACCTTGCAAGGCCCAATCTTGAAGCCTTTTTCATGGACCGTTTTCTGACGTCCTTGGCTCATCTGTGTTTGGCAGGCAGCATTTTACTTTTCCTTCCGACCTTCCTTCTTCTAACGTTTGTCTGCACGTTAGGACTCCTGGAGACTTCTATTATAAACCATTTATGTATGTGCCTTCATTCTCTACCAAAACATAGGCTGTTTGAGCTTACAGTTAACTTACGTTGCTCATCTCCATCATCACGCTCATGTTTGGGAGGACACTTCATGAATAGAATTGAGTTCACTGGGTCTAACCCTTACCCAAGGGGTAGGAAACAGTAACACTATCAGAAGACGAGGACCCTGAGGGTTGAGGGAGTAAAGAGCCTTGATAAATGGAGCAGCTACTTGAGGCTTACCTTCTTCAGAACCATGTGACTCTGCAGCTTTAGGATAGCTGCCTGCTTTCTTACCAGAAGGGATTTCTAGTCTATATTTGACCACTTCCAGGACCTAGGAACTCATGTTCTCACAGCCGTGCCATCTACCATGGGTAGCTGCAAGGTCCCTCTCTACAACCTCTGCAGCCTGGCTCGTTAATGCTCACTTTCTGATTCCAGCTGCTCATGGAGATCCTGTTGGGCTGCCCTACTTTTTCACCCACACAAGTCCCTTTAAGTACTTGCAGCCAGTGTTTTGGTCTCCAGTGGGTGATAATGGCGGCGAGCTCATCATTGTCATCATTTGGGAGTGCTTTACACAGGCCAGGCCTTGCGCTCTGAACAGTTAAGCAACTTGCTCCAGGTCAGAGCTGGGTTTTGCAAATTAGGCCAGACTGCTCCAGCGCCAGGGCTTTTGTGCTGGTCACTGCCTGCTCTCCTTCATCAGCCTCCCTGCAAATCTGCTGAACACACGGGGCACGTCTTTTAGTTGATACACTCTCAATGTATAGTACCACTAGTGTGTACATTCTTCCCTCCGAGTTTCTGTGAGTATAAAATGGCCTGCTTTTACTTGCAGGAGTTTTACATGTGTGAAATGAGATAAAGGCTTTAAAAGCTTTATGTAACCCATATAATTTTTACATAACCCATATAATCCTATATAATCAGAAGACTTACAGTTTCCAAGACATGCATACGTATGGGCCTCACGTTTACAAGACCATGCCCAGTCAAACACAGATTACATGAGTACCTCTTCTTCCTCAGTTTCCCCAACCATACCTCAGACTGCTGGACTTCTGGGTATAATGCCCTATACTTCTGTTTTCCTATTCCAGAGTCTCATTTCCCATGCCTAGCTGACTCAAGCCCAGATGTGGTTATGTAACAGTGTCGTTGGAAGGTCATCTGTTTAACAGTTCTAATTTTGAGTCTTTCTTTTTCTAATCCCCCACAGTGAAGCAGAAATGGCCCCTGCACTTAAGCCACCCCGTGAAGAGTTCCTGAACAGCCGGATGCTGATGCCACATGACATCATGGCCTATCGAGGTCGTGAGGTTGTAGAGAACAATATGCCACTAAGAAATACTCCTGGGTGTGAGAGCAGAGCTTTTGCCCCTCCCCTGTACAGTGGCCTGTCAACACCACCAGCCTCTTATCCTATGTATAGCCATCTCCCACTCAGCAGCTTCCTCTTCTCCGATGAGGAACTACGAGATGCCCCCCGAATGCCTGTGGCCAACCCTTTTCCCAAGGAGCGAGCCCTTCCCTGCGACACTGCCAGGCCAGTCCCTAATGAGTATAGCAGGCCAGCCATGGAGGTGTCCCCCAGCCTGTGCCACAGCAACATCTACTCTCCCAAGGAAGCAGTCCCAGAGGAGGCTCGGAGTGACATACACTACAGTGTGGCTGAGGGTCCCAAGCCTGCTGCCCCTTCTGTTCGGAATGCCCCATACTTCCCCTGTGACAAAGCCAGCAAAGAAGAAGAGAGACCCTCTTCAGAGGATGAGATTGCCCTGCATTTTGAGCCCCCCAATGCACCCTTGAACCGGAAGGGTCTGGTTAGTCCCCAGAGTCCCCAGAAATCCGACTGCCAGCCCAACTCACCCACAGAGTCCTGCAGCAGCAAGAACGCCTGCATCCTTCAGGCCTCTGGCTCCCCTCCAGCCAAGAGCCCCACTGACCCGAAAGCCTGCAACTGGAAGAAGTATAAGTTCATCGTTCTAAACAGCCTCAATCAGAATGCCAAGCCGGAGGGCTCTGAGCAGACAGAGCTGGGTCGCCTCTCCCCTCGAGCCTACCCTGCACCACCGGCCTGCCAGCCGCCTATGGAGCCTGCGAACCTTGATCTCCAGTCTCCAACCAAGCTCAGTGCCAGTGGGGAGGACTCTACCATCCCCCAAGCCAGCCGGCTCAATAATATCGTTAACAGGTGATTTCAGAGGCCTTGTGGGTCTAAGGTCAGGGGCTACCGAGCACAGTTGCGAGGCCTCTTAGCTTCGGGGGGATGTAGAGTGCTGGGCTGTTCTGTTTGTCTGAAATGCTGAGGGGGATTAGTACCAGAGTTAGCCTGAGTCAGGACTGAACGTATTATACTGAGGTTGTATTTTTGTTTCTTTCTTTCTTTTTTTTTTTTCATAGCAAGAGAGAGAATTCTCTTGTGTGGGAGAAAGGCATTCCACAAATCCCAAAGGCACTTCCTGTGGTCTTGATGGAACAGGGAACCCCTCTTTTAGACTGAGAAAGGCTGTGGGCTTCTGGCCCGAGGAGAAGCAACTGGGCCTGGAAGTGGAAGTTGGGCATTTGTTGACCAGTAGAAGAGGGCTCTGAGTCTTAGAACTCCAGAAGGCCATTCTGGACTCTGGGCTTGCCTGAGAGACACACAGAGAGAGGTTAGCATGGATACCAGGTGGTGTCTCATGGCCCCAGATGAGTGTTAAGACTTCTTTTTCCTGACCACAGGTCCCTGGTAGCCTCCCCACGAAGCAGCAGTGAGAGCCACTCGCCTCTCTACATGCACCCCCCAAAGTGTACATCCTGTGGCTCTCAGTCCCCTCAGCATACAGAGATGTGCCTCCATACTGCTGGGCCCACGTTCCCAGAGGAGATGGGAGAGACCCAGTCAGAGTATTCGGATTCTAGCTGTGGTGAGTCTCTTTCTCTGCCTTCCTCTCAGTACCCGGAAGGGAGTCCCCTCTGTTCCCTGGCATTTGTGTGCTGCTGTCTCTGGGATATGACCCAGGTTAGAAGTCCTCTGGCACTTACCATCACCAGCGATAGTTACCCTTTCTATCTCTCAGGAACTGGGCTGACTTAAGCAAGCTAACGAGTTTAGGTGTTGAACTGGGATAACTACACTCCAGCACAGTGTAATTAGCCTGCAGGGCTGCTGGAACCCTCAGAGCTTTCTCAGCCTGTCTGTGCCCAAACTACTGTACTGAGCTGGGTGCATGGTAGCATTTTCCGGTCGGTTGTTAATTCTCTATGGAGAAAGCTGGCCTTATTCATTAATGCATGGGTCTCAGTTGGGTCCTAGAACAGTGGAGGTACTTAAAAAATGTTTGCTGAATTAAGTTTATTGAACTAAATTATTAAATTAGCATTTCCAATGTAGCCGGTGTTGGCTCCCTCAGTTTTTAACCTGGTAAAATGCCTCACCCTTTGCCCAGCTCTAGTTACCGTCTTTTATGACCCAGGAAATATATAATCAGGATTAAATTACACTGATATACCATTTTCAAAAGATTATGAAAGAATAAAGAAGTGGCTTTCAGTGAGCCGTTTGGCACAGGGTCACAAGTCAGGGAGCATAGGGGCTGTGCCCGCCTGTCCCCAGATGATTTTCTTATTCTGCATTCCTGTTCCTGTCACTGGGCCTCTGTTTGCCTTTCTGCCACTGTTAGTGTCCTAGGGTTACAGATGGGCTTTGGAGGCAAGAAATCCATGCATGTGCAGAAATGATGGCGGAGTCTTCAGCATCAATCCCTCCTGGGGGGACTTAAAGGATAAGTGGATTAGATCTGTGTCTCATGGCTCCATAATTTGTCATTCTTTTTCTTTTCCATTGTATGATGTGTCCCTATGAGTGGGCAGGACAGGGCTTATTAGCTTTGCTTTGGGGACAGAGACACAGAGACGCTTAGGGAGGAAAAGTGTCTTGCCCAAGGGCTGCTACGTATGAATAGAAGTTGAACTATGAACTGGTATGCAAGGCGTCTCAGAGCTCCCAGAGGAGCAAAGCGAAGGCTTCCTCAAAGCAGTGAGGCCCTAAGGAGAGTCTCTGGAGTGGAATGTGTTGACCTTAAGAGTCAATCTGTCTCCTATCTTGCTCTTCTCTGACCAAGACTCTAAATGCTAAGAAAAATAAAAGTCCCCACTGGTCCTATGGGTTCTCATAAATGTTGAGAAGGAGCCAGGGAAACATTGGCAGAGTTCCAGAGGAGGGAGACTTTCAGCTCCATCCTGTTTCCTCATGCTAACACGCCATCCCTCCACGTCCTGCAGAGAACGGGGCCTTCTTCTGCAACGAATGTGACTGTCGTTTTTCTGAGGAGGCCTCGCTCAAGAGGCACATGTTGCAGACGCACAGTGACAAACCATACAAATGTGACCGCTGCCAGGCCTCCTTCCGCTACAAAGGCAACCTCGCCAGCCACAAGACCGTCCACACGGGTATGGCCTTGTCCCACACTGGGTGCTCCAACATCAGTTACAGACAGTAGACGTTAGGACAAACCTGGGGACATGGTTGGAGTGAGGCAGGATGAATGCCCCACCCTGGCTTCAACTAGGACAACAGTACTCAACCTGTGGGTCTTGACCTCTTTGTGGAGGGGTCAAACAACTCTTTCTCAGAGGTCACACATATCAGATATCCCGCATATCAGATATTTAGGTCATGTTTCATAACAGTAGCAAAATTACAGTTACAGATTAGCAATGAATATAATTTTATGGTTGAGGGTCACCACAACATGAGAAACTGTCTTAAAGGCTCACACCACGAGGAAGGTTGAGAACCACTGAACCAGGGGATTAACCCTGTCTTGTCTCTGTCTCTCTCCTTGATCTTTGTGTTTCCTCTGTGGTTTTGTCCAGCTTTCTGCCTTTGCTGGGGTTCAGAGTGTTCATCTCTGTGGTCGAGTGAAGAGATTAATGCTGATAGAGGCAATGTGGACTGGGGTTTGGGTAAAGTCAGCTAAAAAGAAAAGCTTCTCCAGGTCAAGGACTTATCAACCAACTTACACTCCTTTCCCCAGGATGCTTCTCACAACCTCCTTGTTGTGAGCATTAATTAGCTATCAGACCTTTCGGTGGCCCCATTATCCCCAAAACTTTCCATGGCGGAAGGCTCGGCTGTAGATCGGCTTCCTCTGCCCAGCCTCTGCTTAGCCCCACACCCTGCCTTGCTAGCAAATGGAATACAGCTGTAGTTGCCACAAGCGGAAAAGTATGTTCTGTGAGAGAAACTGGAGCAGCCTGATAGTATCTCTCTGGTGAGGGAGTGGAGAATTGCATCAGTCTGGCCAAGGGAAGAGCCAGAAGAATCTTCCCAGGTTGTCTGAATCAGCCCTGCCCATTCAGAGAGGGAGACCGAGGCCCAGAGAAGGGCTGGGTCTTGCCCAAGCCCTACAGGCAGTGACCGTAATGACAGTGGTGGTTCTGCAGGTTGGACTTCTTGAGACTTCCCCCACTGCATCCTACGTATAGAGTTGCCACCCCACCGTGCCCAACTGCTTCTTTCTTGACCTTGTCCCTTGCTGGGTGTGTTGGTGTGTGTGGCAGGCACCTAGATCAGTGGTTCTCAACCTGTGAGCCGAGACCCCCTTGGGGGTTGAATGACCTTTTTACAGGGGTCATCTAAGGCCAAAAGAAAACACAGATATTGACAGTATGATTCAGTACAAGTCATAACAGTAGTGACATTACAATTATGAAGTAGCAACGAAAATAATTTTGTGATTGGGAGAAGGTTCATCCCAGCATGAGGAACTGTATTAAAGAGTCAGAGCATTAGGAAGCTGAGAACTGCTGTCCTAGATTCTTTCTCTGACCTCCCTGTAGGGAAGGGAAGGGATACGTGGCTTTGAATGGAAGTAAGGGTCAGTATAGCACCCCCCCCTTAAAGATGATTTCTGTTTTCCATTCGTCTTGTCAATAGGTGAGAAACCCTATCGCTGTAACATTTGTGGGGCGCAGTTCAATCGCCCAGCCAACCTGAAGACCCACACTCGAATTCACTCTGGAGAAAAGCCCTACAAGTGTGAAACCTGTGGAGCCAGATTTGTGCAGGTGAGCAGGGCAGTGTGGCAAAGGGACCTGTGGGGGATGGGCACCTGGTCATAGGCGGGCAGCATCCTGTCAGCACCTCTCACGCTATGCTCCCCCTTCAGGTGGCCCATCTCCGTGCCCATGTGCTCATCCACACTGGAGAGAAGCCATACCCCTGTGAAATCTGTGGCACCCGCTTCAGGCACCTTCAGACTCTAAAGAGCCACCTGCGAATCCACACAGGAGAGAAACCTTACCATGTACGTAAACCCTGTGGCTTCTGGCTGTCCTGGGTAGGAGCTGGGAGCAGGGTTGGGGGGTGGGGTGGGGTGGGTGGGAGGGATATGGGTAAAGTGTACAGCAGAGCTGCTTGCTCTAACCTCTAGTGTACAAGTGGACCAATGGTCAGGAGATCTAGATCTAGACCTGATTGTCCAAGTTCCCTTCTTCAACAATCCCAGGTCTCAGCGTGTTCATCTCTGATGTGGAGGCATTGGTCTGGGTGTCCTGGGCCTTAGGAAAGGAAACAGAATTGAGTTAGCCATTCATTCCACAAATGTTTTCTGAGCAACTCCAAGATACCTCTACACTAGATATGTATGTAAGAACGTTGAAAGTATTAAAGGAAGCTTAGGAGTAGGAGAGCAACCAGAGAAATATGGCAAAGAAGAAACCCCAAAACGAGAATACACACACATACACACACACACACACACACACACCACATACACATAACACACACACACACACATAACACATACACATAACACACACACATACACACATAACACACACACAGACACACACTCTGTTTCAAGAAAGAACAGGCTGGGACCAGAGGGTGGTTCAGCAGTTAAAAGAACTTGCTGCTGTTGCAAAAGAGTATCTGGTTCCCAGCACTTGAATTGGGTGGTTGACAACCACAAGTCCAATTTAGGGGATTCATCTCCTTCTTGTGGCCTCCCTGGGTACCTGCATGCACGTGGCATAGCTATTAGAATACATGTGTGTAAATAACAATAAATTCAAAAGAAAGAGCAGGTGCCCACATGTTTAGTGCAGTGCTAAGAACAGGACTAAATAAAATCTAATTGGAAACGCAGTCACACTCATACCTTTACGGATTGTTTAAGGCTACTTTGAGGTCTTGATGCTAGCGCTTCAGGTGCTGCTGGGCACAAAGCAACAAGAACAAATCGTTGAATGGCTCACTGGCACCCAGATGGTACGCTTCAACATGTGTCTTCTTTCATTGACTTGCTTCTAAGGCTTTGAATGAAGACCTTTGTACTTTCTACTTGTTTCTTGGCAAATTAGCTATGTTCACCCTGTTCTACTTCCCTCAGCTGTACATTGATTTAGAAAATAGTGCCTACGTCATAAAGTGGTCATGTTTAGAGAAGTAATCCATTCCGCGCTTTGAGTTTTTCAAGCACATAGCTGCATCATGAACTGCTAGAATTTTAGTCACAGAGGCAGTAAGAGTTGAAAGTGACATTTGAGTTTTATTGACCCAATCCCTTACAGAAGGGAAAGCCAGTCTTGATAGATGATATGGCCAGGATACACAGCAGTGGGTGGCACAGGTACAAGGGACCTATGCCATTTGGAAAGAAAGAAAAGCATCTCCCAGACTCAAGAATCTCCATGGACTTACGCTATTTAGTTCATGTGTATGGTTACAATCAGATTGATTTCACATTCTTCTGAAGGTGTGTTCTGCTAGGTCAAAGGGGAGACTACAGTGTTTGGGTGAGAAGTTCCTCAAAGTATTAGCCAGCTGACGAAGACATTAATACACCGGACAGTTGTGAGGCAAGGATGAAAATCTGAGAGTTACAAAGAGATGGATTCTTTTATCTTAGATTCAGAAATGTTACTAATTAGAGCTGTATGCATCTGAACTTATCTTTTGGATGAGACTTGTAATCATGCAGTTAAGTCAGGGAAGGACATCTCAAGGCAGAGGGACATATGAGCTGAAGGGAAGGCTGGGGCATTTGCACAATGTATACTTAACCTCCAGTGGAAGCCAAGATTTGTATGAGTTCTAAATCTGCCCTTTAAAAGGGAGGAGCTGCCTCTACCCAACCTTCACAGCCCTCTCCTGTGGGCTTTTGAGCACTAATATGTTTCCTGGGTGGATGACAGCTAACACTTTGCTTCTGGTGTCTCTTCAGTGTGAGAAGTGTAACCTGCACTTCCGTCACAAAAGCCAACTGCGACTTCATCTGCGCCAGAAGCATGGCGCCATCACCAACACCAAGGTGCAATACCGTGTGTCGGCCGCTGACCTGCCTCCGGAGCTCCCCAAAGCCTGCTGAAGCATGGAGTGTTGACTCTTTCCTCTCCAGCCCCTTCTCAGAATCTACCCAAAGGATGCTGTAACACTTTACAAAGGTCATCCCATGATGTAGTGCCTCTCTCATCCACTAGTGGAAATCATAGTTGGGGTGGGGGTGGGGGTAGGGCTTGCGGGACCGGGAGCCAAGGTAGCTCCCCTTCCCACACTGCCATAAAACATTAAGAAAATACTATTGCTTCTTCTCCTATGTGTAAGGCAAACCACATCAGCAAAAAGCAAAATCATTTTCTATATCAAAGTAGGGGAGAATGCATAAGTTCTGACTTGACAGGTTGCAACATGAGAAATGTAAACGTCCTGTGGGAACAGAGATCTCTTTTGTATGTAAATGTGTATTGTTTTAAAAGACAAGACTTCAGTATGTTGTCAAAGAGAGGGCTTTAATTTTTTTAACCAAAGGTGAAGGAATATATGGCAGAGTTGTAAATATATAAATATATATATATATATATATAAAAAATATAAATATATAAACCTAAAAAGATATATTGAAAATATAAAACTGTGTTAAAGGCTCGATTTTGTATCTGCAGGCAGACACGGATCTGAGAATCTTTATTGAGAAAGAGCACTTAAGAGACTATTTTAAGTATTGCGTCTGTATAAGTAAGAAAATATTTTGTCTAAAATGCCTCCGTGTATTTGTATTTTTTTGCAAGTGAAGGTTTACAATTTACAAAGTGTGTATTAAAAACAAAAAGAACAAAAAAAAAGCTTCAGAAGGAGAAATGTATACTTTTGTTCCAGTTTTCAGTTTGTACATACCTGTAACGTGTCCTCACGGTGCCTTTTTACACGGACGTTTTCAATGATGGACAGGTGTGCGCCATCCCTTTTTGAAGTGTAGGCAGACACAGGGACTTGAAGTTGTCACTAACTAGACTCTCTTTGGGAATGTTTGGCTCCTCCCACATTCTGCGTCATGCTTGTCGTTATAATTACTCCGGAGACAGGGTTTGGCTGTGTCTAAACTGCATTAGTGCGTTGTAAAATATAGCTGTACAAAACATAAGAATAAAACATTGAAAAGTTGAGCTACCAGAGTGGATCCAGCCTCTTTGCTCCAGTGGGAAATGTTCTAGGAGCGGGAGGGGTCGCTGACCAGTGAGGTGTGGGAGAGGAGCCTGGCTTGAGGGCCAGACTGGGGTTTGTCCAGGTAGTTTTCTGCCTATTTTGGTCCTGAACACCAGCCTCAGCTGCAGAGCTCAGACACTGGGCCTGAAGGTCAGGTAGAGTATCTGAAGGTCTGGTAGAGTATCTGAAGGTCAGGTAGAGTATCTGAATGGACCCTTCCCCAGCTCTGAGCTTCACTCTTAATAACTTCAGCCCTTGATCTTTAGACACAAACATGTCATAGCCTCTCCCACCTCTGGGCTTTAGTTGATTCTTATTCTTTTTTAAAGTGAGAAGTTCCATCTTGGCTCTGGCTTTAGAAACAAGTTTTCTTTGCTTGGCTACCCAAGGCATCTGGGTGAAGCCACACATGTCTCTCAGCATCCATGCATTTGGAGTCTCCTGGGTGACCGACAGACATTTACAGACTTAAAAGCTTTATGACTGACCAGAGGCCAAGCAAGCCTCTACCCCAGTGCTGTAGCTTAGCCACCTCCTCCTGTGTGCGTCAGGTCACTATTTTTGCTTCGGGTCTCTGTCCCAGCCCATCCAAGAGTAGACTGGAATAACAAGACCATTTATGAATCTATGATTCAGATGTAAGTTCACACTGGCCTGCTTTGGCACCCGCTTGTGTTTTACCTCAGAAAACCCCAAGGACCAAGTATGATTGACAGGATCTGAGAACTGGGAAGACAAGTGTGGTTCTGGTAATGGGCCCAGAAGAGAAAGCCTGCATCCCCTTCCGGTTCCTGGGTGGCAGTGGGGAGGGAACACGTGCCTACTGGTCAGCTCCTGGCAATGGCTTTGCTGCAGTCTCTGGGCACGTGTTAAGAAGCTAAGGGAGCTGCCCACCCAAAGCCCCAGAGAGAGCTTCAGAAAGTCATGCCACCTTCTGCCAACCGCGAGGCCTTACAGCTCAGGTTTCCTTTGAAAATGACTTTAAAGAACTTGCCAGCTCAAGGCCTCAACTCACCCTGTTCTTTGAAAAGGGAGAAAATGATCCCTCTGCTCCCATAGAAACCTGGCAGAAGAACTTAGAGAAAAGACAGCTTCAGGAATGACAATTCACAGGCCTGAGGGAGGCTGGCCCCAGGCTCCTTTTGCTCCTGAGAATCTGTTTTTGTATCATTACTATTTATGAGGGAGACAGAGGAGCAGACAGGGAGGGTGGTGTTATGACAAAAAGGAGATCAAAGACTGAGCTACTGCAGTCAGCCGATGATTAATAAGCAAAAGGAAAACATCTCTAAACAGAGTTATTAAGAGTATAACCCAGAGCAAAGAGAAGAGAGAATTTTATTACAAAAGCATGGAGTGAATGCATTGTCACACACACACACACACACACACACACACACACACACACAAACACACACACACACACTGTCTCAAACACCAGGATATATTTAATATTCTCTATATCGTGGAAGTTTTTTGAGGGAAAGGTTTATTAGAACCTCAGGTTGAGGTAGGTGTAATAGCTTTGGCTTCAGTTCACTTTATGTTGCTGTAATAAAACACAGACCAAATGCAGTTTGGGGAGGAAAGGGTTTATTGGGCTTCCATTTCCTGATCCCAGTCTACCACTGACGGAAGTCAGGGCACTCCAGGCAGGAAGCTGATGTCAGCGGAAGTCAGGGCACTCCAGGCAGGAAGCTGATGTCAGCGACTGAAACAGAGACCATGGAGGAACTGCTTACTTGTTCCCTGTGGCTTCTGATCCAATCCTGATCCATCTATTCAGAACCCTCCAACATCAATCACAAATCAGGAAATTGTCCCCAGAAACTGTCTACAGGCCAGTCTGAGGCAGCATTCTGTCAGTTAAGGTTCCCACCTCCCAGATGACTCTAACCTCAGTGGAACTGATAACTGAGCAGCACAGATTTCGTTCCATGTGACACAATTCCCATCCCAGCAAGAAGGGTGGAGGTCTTTAAGCCCACGGTTTTGAGGTCTTTAAGGTCACAGATTCAGATGATGTTCCTCCTGCCCATTGTCCTTGGCTCTGCCAACTCTGGGCTTATGATGAGACAGGATATCGCAGCAGACAGGAAGCAAAGAGAGAGAAAGAAGAAGACACTGTCCCAAGGGCATGCACTGAGTGACCTAGTTCTTTCATATAGACTTCACTTTTTAAAGTTTCCAGAACCTTCTAAAATAGTACCACCAACCGAGGACAAGCGTTTTAAAACAATAGGTTTTGGAGGGGTTGAGAGCTTGACTGTATACACAAACCACAACAGCAGGGCTATAGACTGGGCGGGTCCACACAAGCAGGCCTGTTAAGGAGCTGAAAGACTGCACAGTGGCAAGCACTCTCTAATTCAAGTGACTCTTCCGACCTGTGAGGCGACTGAGGTGACAGTCTGCTGCCATCTAGTGTCTGGGCAAGTGTGGAGACCAGGCTCCCCCTTACCCCAGCCCCGGGAAAGAACAGGTGCAGGTTCTGATTTAGCAATAATGAAATGAATAGGGCCTGCCCAAGGTCACACAGCCAAGTGTCCGGCTTGTCGAGTTCACACACCACACCTAGCTCTTGGTAGAACTTACAGTTCAGTCGATGATTAGGACCTAGGGTTCTTATTTTAATTTCTTTGCCTCACTCACAGTAGCAATTGATAAATTGTCTCACGTTCTCCCAGAGGGATACCCGGGAAAGCATCAAGAGAACTGAACAGGGAAGAGAAACAGGGAAAAGCTGCCCCCTGGGTGTGAGGCAGGTCACGTCAAAGGCAGAGCCCCAGAGCGAGGCTCTCAGAACGAGATGGTCTGGGTTCTATGGAGCCTGCTATCATCTGGAGGTTTTTGGACATTTCTGTGCGACTCATCATCTCTTACACCTACTTACCATAGGGTCCCTGTGCACCTTCTCTTCTTACACCTACTTACCATAGGGTCCCTGTGCACCTTCTCTTCTTACACCTACTTACCATAGGGTCCCTGTGCACCTTCTCTTTACATAGTTTGTGTGGGTTCCTATTTCCAAGAACAAGAGCACAGTTTATGCTGACAGCCATACTTCATACGTATTTGTATTTCATATTTTATATAAAGATAACTTTGGGTTTTAAGTTATTTATTTACAAAGTAATTACTAATATGATGGCTTTAAAGCATATATAAATGAAGTACATATGTACACACACACACACATATGTATATATGAGTAATTTACTAATCTCTGAAGTGACAAAGGGAAAATATCTACAGACAAACTATTAGTTGAGATGATTGAAAATGCCCAGGCCTGTCTCAAACTCACTGCATACTCGAGCTGTCCTAGAACTTGCTGTCATCTTGTCTCAGGCTCCCCAGGGCTGGGATTCTAAGTGTGTGACATCATGCAAAGTATCTGTTTTTATATCCTAATCAGGCAGGTCTGGTTAAGTAGCAAGTATATACAGAGTCAGAAACATTGACTATTGTAACTGAGGCTCTTTAGAGATTACAATAATTTCACATAGTCAAGGAAACCAAGCCAAGAACAGGAAGACATCATGTCAAGGGTCACAGCAGGAATGTTGATCAGCGAGATCACTTAACTCCAGAGTTTGGTGTTTAGCATGATCCAGGCTCTCATAATACTTGCAGTTATGTTGGAAAACTATAACCTGACAATGTAGAAAAATATCAAAAGGCATGGAAGTGATGGCCAGTGAATGATGATCCTAGGAATCCTGGACCTTGAGAAGGACATAGGTGGAATGACACATTGCTCTCTCGGGGCATATGTGATGGCCAGCCTTGCTGAACAGTTAAGCCAGAGATACGTGTACTGAGGATTTCAAGAACCCCGGGCTTCTCTTTGACATGGTAAGGACTCCTCTGCTTGGAAAGATCTAGCTTTCCTGATGTGACCATCTCTGAAGTTTGTCTGGGCTGCTGTATTGAAGTATGACAAACTGAGGGACTTCCTACAAGCCCTGGAGGCTGGATTTCTGAGTCCAGGTGTCAGCAGGGGGGTTCTTCTGAGTGCAGTGTGGGAGTCTGTTCCAAGCTTCTCTCATAGCCTCTGGTGGCTGCCTAGTCATCTTAGATTCTCTTCTGGTTTTATGAAAAAACTGTCGCTGTCTCTTTTTTTTATTATGTATGTATGCACACATGCGTGCACACTCTCATGCACATGTGTAACCAACCTCTACCCCACACCAGCTAGAAAGCTTCAGCAAAGCTTTGATGCTCAGATTATGTATGAGGTTCAAGCCACTCAGGAGTCAGAAAAAAATCAGACTCTAAATTAGTATTGGGGCTGATGAGACAGGTCAGTGTATGAAGGCATTTGCCACACAAGCCTGGTGACCTGAGTTTCATCCCAGGAATTCATTTAAAGATAGAGGGAGAGAACTCAATCCACAGAGCTGTCCTCTGATCATCACAGGAAGTGTGGCCCATGTGCCTGCAAACACAGATATGCTGCTGCTGCTACTACTAGTGTTGAGGATGGTGAGGATGGTGATGGTGAGGATGGTGATGATGATGATATGAAAATGGCATAAACACAAATGGACATTTATCCAGACATTTAAACGGTCAAGAGGGAAATGCAATTACCACCATGTTACTCTACTAGAACCATTGTTGTCAAAAGGGTAAGTACTAGCCTGCGTCTGGAGAAAGGGGAACTCTACACACTATTCTTGATAATGTAAATTAGTAACGCCATTATGGAAAGCAGTACGAAAGTTCCTCAAAAATTAGAAACACAACTTACCAGATGATCCAGCATTCTGACTGCCAGGGATGCACCTCCAGAGGAAGCACAGTCCTAGCCTAGCACCCAGAGTCCAGTGCAGCATGAATCACAGAAAGCGAGAAGGAGAAACAACCTAGTATCTACCAAAATATAAAGGGATAAAGAAAACATGGCCTACTGTGTGCACTTGAATGGCTTCAACAGAACCTGGAGCTCGCTCTCTTAGTGT